AGAACCGATGAGGTCCTGGTTTTTCCCTAGCTCTCTTGAGAGTATTCTGAAACTTTCACCTAAAGCGTAGTAAAAAGGAAACAAAAAAGAGGATTCTGGCTTGACCAGCTCAGGTCTTTCCTTCCTCTGCTCTCTGAAGATCTGGACTCTGCCTCCGGATTCTATAAAATAAAATTGGAGGGGAGAGGAGAAGCTGGAAGAGAAAGGTATGCTGGAAGTAGTAGGTTTTCAGAGTAATATGGAGAGAAAAGGAAGAACAACTGGTATGTTACAGAAGGGCATGGAAAAGGAGATTACAGAAGACTGCTTGGACCCTGTTAGGTGTTAAATTGTGTCCCCCAGAAAGATGTGTTGAAGTCCCAACCCCCAATAGCTATGAATATGACCCTGTTTGAAAATAGTGTCTTTGAAGATGTTAACATGTGTTCATACTGGAGTAGTGGGTCCTAATCCCATCTGAGAAGTAGCCTTATAAAAGAGAAGAATAGACACAGGGAAGACAGCCACGTGGAGACCTAGGCAGAGATTGGATTGATGCTTTCACAAGCCAAGGAATGCCTGGGGCTTCCCAAAGCTGGAAGAGACAGGGAAGGATTCTTCCCTAGAGTCTTTAGATGGGAGCATGGCCCTGCCGACACCATGAATTTGGACTTTTAGCCTCCAAACCTGTGAGAGAATAAATTTCTGTTGTTTTAAGCCAACCACCTTATGGTACTTTGTTAGAGCAGTCCTAGGAAATGAATAACAGATTCCTTTATGGTTTTTGAAATACACAGTCATAGTGTCTGTTCAGGCAACGTCCAACAGCATATACGTCTGTGACCCCATAGGGTTGTACATATAGACCCACGGACAACCTGTAGTTAAGAGCCAACCCCCATAAAGCCTGTTATATTAAAAATTTGAGGTACATACAATAGTTCGTAATAACGGGTGCTACTTTGCAATGCACATCAAAACATTATTATTATTACTGTATTATTATGTTAGAGATGTTTTAATGTATCTGGAAGGGTTTCTTTAACGTTTTTTATGCATAGACCCAAAACCCACTGCTGTCGAGTCAATTCTGCCTCATAGTGGCGCCATAGGGTTTCCAAGGCTGTAAATCTCTATGGAAGCAGATTACCATATTTTTCTCCCACAGAGCCACTGGTGCTATATATACTAAGACAAACATTTGACCAGCTGACATTGGATACGAACTGTACCTAACTGTTCCAACTTACATATACAAATTCAACATACAGACAGACTTAGGAATGGAACTCGTTCATAATCCGGGCACTGCCTGTATATAATATGGTGTTCGCACAATGTCCAAATCACACAATGTACTATTTCACAGAAAGTATCATGGAAGTTAAATGACACATGACTGTACAAGCAAAAGAGTTATTTGAAAATTACTTTTTGGTGGTCCTGACACTTTGTTACGACTATACCACATGGGTCTCTGCTTTATATGGGTATATTTATAGCTGCCACTGAAAAGGATCAATTCAGTCCTACATTCTTCACATAGATTCCAGGTTTTCCAGTTTCTCTAATGGAGATGTTTGCAATTTAGAGATAGAGAGCCTGAATAGTTGAACAGTATAGGACAGGGGAGCTAGACATTGAGGACACTGGACTGCTGAGGTTTTTAATTTCCCAATCAGATTTGTTGTCCAGCTTTTTAAGGGAGAGAGAGAAAGGAAGAAAAATGTCTCCAGAATAGCTAGCTCGTGTTCCTTAGGAATGATAAAGCCTAGCAATAGTGGAAGACTAATTTACACATGTAGATATACATATAGAGGAATAAATCAAAGAAAAGGCATCATGTCCTATAAAAGTTTTTTCTCTTCTTCCCCAAAGTATAAAAGGTCATCTTTCATAGTTCAGAAATTCTGATTTCAAAGGAGGTTTTGAAATCCTTGAACTCATGGTTCTTTGCTTTCCTTCAGTCTATTAATTTATTTCCATTCTTGGTTCTTGAAACCAGCCTAAGTCTAGGGCAGTTGCTCTCAACCAGGATTTATTTGAACCTCCTTCCACTGGCCCCCAAGGGACATTTGGCATGGGTGACCATGTGGATTGTGATGTTTTTCCTGTGATGGGAATTGTAGGAGGAGAACAAAGGCTGAGGCTGATGAGTTCATGGTTCCTGTGGGAAATGGAGATGTCCAGCAGAAAGAAGGATTTATGGATTTAATCTCAGGAGAGAGATTAGAGCTGGAGATACGGATTTAGGAGTTTTCAATAGATGGTAATTAAGTGGTAGTTGGGAAATGGCAAATAAATGGTAGTTGAGTAATGAGAGTGAATCAAGTCAGAAAGCAATGTGCTGATGTGGAATCTATGGGCAGAACAAGGACGAGGAAGAACCCACAGAGGAGACAGAATGAAGCACCAAGCTCAGAAAGGAAGGATGAAGAGTAGGGGAGAGTCATAGAATCCGAGGAAACCAACAGAGTCAGATGTCATAGAGAGGTCAAGTAAGATAGACTGAACAGTGTGTATTAGATTTGGCAACAAATATGTCATTTTTGCCTTGGTGAAAACAGGGTCAGTAGATCATATGAAGGCAGAAGACAGATGTTAGCACAAGTAGCAAAATATAATTTCTAGGAAATTGTAGAAACATATGTTCAAGAAATAACCTTTGCTAGATTTTCATGTTCGATGTAATTTGGTCTTTTGTTATTTCATATATGATTTTTTGGGGTCAATAATTCAGGATGGCAGTTGAGTTGTTTTGCTAAATCCTTTACTCAAAATGACCAGCAAGAATTCTTTGCGTTATTCTGATTTTGAAATAATTAACACTGATCCAACATTTAACACTGATCCAACATTGTATGCTTACAACACTTTCCCAAAAGAATTTCTTGCCTTAAGGAATCCTTCATCAGTATGAGTTTGACGTGACCCCATTTACTGGACTTTTCTCATTTGTATACAATAAAGAGTAGATTCATTCATTTGTTCAGCAGACATTTATTGAGTCCTTCCTTTATGCCGGGGACTGTTCTAGGCATGCAGACAATATCAGAGAATAAAACATACAAAAATTCTTGCCCTTGTGGCATTTATATTTTAGAGATGCATACTTATGAGAAATTAATATTTGAATTATTTTTAAACATTGTCACTAAACTGGACTACAGAATGACGTCCATTAAGAGAAATCACACAAAGTGATACATATCCAAGATTGAAGTAGAAGTTTTAATCCTGGGTCTACTTTCTTCTTTAAGTCGTAATAACTTATTGAACACATGATAAATTCATTGAACACTGAATTTTATTCAATTAAAAAAAGTATGTGAAATGGATTTCCTTTTTAAAATGGAAATTTCTTATAAGTTTAAGGTAGTGATGATGATGATATTATTATTAGTAACAGTGGTATTATCATCATCTTCATCATCGTTGTATAATTACTGGATCACATTAGCCACCACAGTCAATCAGTTGTTTGAATCCTATAGACCAGTCCTGGAAAATCATTGAAATGTTTTGGGGAAAAAATATGAAGATGTTTTACTTGGGTTTTTCTATCATTGTGACTCTGTATACAGACTTTATATCCATTATAGAGAATATTTCATAGTCAGAAGTATGAGAAATGACTCATTTCTATATGATACAGGCATAGTCAGGGATAAGTTACTAAAGCAATTTGTACCCTTGAATAAAGCACTAAAAATGATTAGTTTTTATTTTGGTGGCAGTACCTTGTGACACTGGAGTCCCTGGGTTGTGCAAATGATTAACGCATCTGGCTGCTAACCGAAAAGTTGGAGGTTTGAGGCTATCCAGAGGCACCTCAGAAGAAAGTCCTGGTGATCTGTTGTTGTTGGGTGCCATCGATCGGTTCCAACTCATAGTGACCCTGTATACAACAGAACGAAACACTGCCCAGTACTGTGCCATCCTCACAGTCATTTATGCTTGAGCCCATTGGTGCAGCCACTGTGTCAGTCCATCTCCTTGAGGGTCTTCCTCATTTTTGCTGACCCTTTACCGAGCACGGTGTCCTTCTCCAGGGACTGGTCCTTCCGAGTAATATGCACAAAGTGCGTGAGACAAAGTCTCCCCATCCTCGCTTCTGAGGAGCATTCTGGCTATACTTCTTTCAATTCAGATGTGTTTGTTCTTCTGGCCGTCCATGGTATATTCAATATTCTTCATCAACGCCATAATTCAAAGCATCAATTCTTCTTTGGTCTTCCTTATTCATTGTCCAGCTTTCGCATGCATATGAGGCGATTGAAAATACCATGGCTTGGGTCAGGTGCACCTTAGTCCTCAAAGTGACATCTATGCTTTTGAACATTTTAAAGAAATCTTTTGCAGCAGATTTGCCCAGTGCAGTACACTGTTTGCTTTCCTGGCAACCCAGGTCTGAAACATCATCCGTAGAAAACCCTACAGAGCACAGCTCTGCTCCGACACACGGGGCCTCCATGCGTTGGAGTCGACCCAGCAGCAACTGGTTGGCTGGTTTTTTCCCATGATGCTGGACTGCATATCAAGCTGAATTAAGGACACGAGCTCTTCTTTCTCGACCCTACACGTGCAGAGTAGAACTGCTACACAGGGTTTTCAAGGCTGTGACCTTCTAGAAGCAGATTGCCAGGCCTGTCTTCCAAAGTGCTTCTGGGTAGGTTCAAACTGCCAACCGTTTGGCTAGGTGTTGAGCGTTTAACTGTTTGCACCACCCAGGGACTCCTGTGCTGTCTGTACTGGAATCAAATAAATTCGTTGGTTCTAATTTAGGAAACGCTTAAAGACCAAAACCACGAGAGAGAAGGGTGGAAGAGGCAGGTGTGGTTTGGTTTTGCTTTTTGTATTTTGGTACTTGAAAATAGACATTTTATGGATTGTGTAAAACTGTCACCAGACTTTGTTGTGGTGGTTGATTGGTTAGGCCAGTTGATGTTGTGTCCCATTCAAACATTTGAAAATGGACTTTTATACTATTTTAATTACTCCTGTCTGATTTATTCTTTCAGATCATAAGGTCTATGGAGTTTCTGCCCCGAAAGACCAAGTAGTTACAGCAATAGAGTACCAAGGTATAGTATCTTACTGAATTTCACTGACTGTACTGTTTAAGTAACTCCCAAGGATGACATATGTGATATTATCTTCCCGGGACTTCTATTCGTCGAGTTCTCTCTCAGCTCACACTGACTCCTCTGCCTCTGCCTGCAATAGCCCTCCATGCCCTTTCCATTTCGAGAACTCTTAGTCAAGAGTCATCTCTCTGCTCGGTGGAAATTTTAGGCATTCAGATGAAAGACCAGACGCACGGAGAAGGTTTCTTATTACGTAAATTGTCAGCCACAAAGCAAATCTAATTTATGAAACTGGAAGATGGGGATCTTTAAAAGTTTCTAGTCAGCGAGGTCTGATACATGGAAATTAACACTGCAAAACCCATGGTACAGATTTAAGTGGCCTCTTTTAGTGACTGTTTTGTTACTTATTTTAGTTTTAAAAAATATTTATAAGGGCTTTAATATGTTTATTTCAAACATTGACTACCTACTGCTATTTTTCCATAGGATCTTTGATCTAGAACACAGTTAATACTAGGCAACCAGAATTACTTTTCTTAAATGTGACACTTGTTTAAACCAGAGATTGGGAGCATTTACAAAACAGATCCCAAGTGTCTGATCCCTCTTCTTCTGGAGTATCTTAGTTTCTTGGAGTCAAAGAGAAATATGTTTGAAGGAAAGAAAGAAAGAAAAAAGAAGGGGACAAGGGTTAGAGAAATTCTATGAGTTATCTATACGGTACCTATACAGTGCTTACAATAGTTCCTGGCATATAAGGAGTGTTATATGTGTATGTTAAGTAAAAATATACTATAATCAGAATCAACCCATCATTCAAAACTCTCAGTCTTAAGTAACAAATCATTTAAACAATTATTTAAGTTCATCAGATTCTAATCCTGAATTTTAATATTTACATGATTAAGCTAATAAGACACACTTTTTGGTGAGTTAGTTTTAAATGAGGAGGTAGTGTCTTATTTACCTGGGGAGCCCTGATAGCACAGTGGCTAAGTGTTAAGCTGCTAACCAAAAGGTCGACAGTTTGAATCCACCAGCTGCTCCTTGGAAATCCTATGGGGCAGTTCTACTTTGTCCTATACAGTCGCTATGAGTCAGAATCAACTTGACAGCAATGGGCTTTGGGTTGTAACATAAATACTAACAGTGGGTGGCTTTAAAGAACAGAAATTTAGTTTCTCACAATTCTGGGGGCTAAAAGTTTGAATTTGTGGTGCCGCTGTAGGGAGAGGTTCTTCCTTGTTGGTAGTTTCGGGAATTCCTTGATGTTCCTTGACGTCTGTCTTCCCCCTGTGTCTGTCTCTGTGTCTCTTCTGCTCTTTTTATGATTCAGAAGTGATTAGGTTTAGGACCCACCCTACTCTGGTATAACTTCATTAACATAACGAAACAAAGCCCCGATTTCCAACTAGGGTCATATTTACAGGTACAGGGATTAGGATTTCAACACATGTTTTTGGACAGACACAATTCAATCTGTAACAGGGAGAAAGAGGAACATAATGATTAGCAGTTATTTGGGACTAGGGAACACTTACGGGGGAAAAACGGGGATGGCTGAGACGCCCTGAAGGAGCCTGGAAAGGCCAAAAGAGCGAGCAGAGTGGGAGAGAAAAGAGATGGAACAATGTTCAGTAGAGACAAAAGAAGTGAAGTTAATTTCTCCTACTTCTCAATTTCCTGGAGATTTTTACTTTGGGTCCAGCTAAATACTGTGGATATACATCCCTGTCCCCTCCCTGCCCAGTCCTTATGCCATGATATCCAATTTAGATGGCGAAATGGTATTCTTTAATCTCACATTACTTTTTTTTTGTGATGTCTGCCTATATACTTCGTGTGTGTGTGTGTGCGCATGTGTGTGGTAAAAGTATACATACAAAAATTTGCCAACTCAACAATTTTTACATGTATAATTCAGTGACTTTATGTTCTTCATGTTGTGCAACCATCGCCACTATCCTTTTTCAAATCATTCCACCACCATTAACAGAAACGTAGTGTCCCTAAGCAATGAGTCCCATTTCCTCCCTCCTTGCACCCCTGGTAACAACTTATAAGCTTTGGTCTTTATACATTTGCCCATGTCATATAAGTGGGATCATAGAGTATTTACCCTTTTGTGACTGACTTATTTTGCTTAGCATGATGTTTTCAAGGTACATCCATGTTGTGGTATGTATCAAGACTTCATTTCTCTTTCAAACTGAGTAATATTCTAGTGTATGCATATACAACAGTTTGTTTATCCATTCATCTTTTTTTTTTTTTTTAATCTGCCAAAAGCTTCTTTTTTAAAAAAATATTTTATTGAGTTTTTGGTGAAAGTTTACCCAGCATATTAGGCCCCATTTAATAATTTCAGTACATATTGTTCAGTAATATTACATTTTCCACATTGTGTCAACATTCTCCACATTTCTATTCTGGTTGTTCCACTTCCATTTATCCAGTTCCCTGCCCTCCCCTCCTCTGACCTTCTCATCTATGCTTTGGGGTTAATGTTGACCGTTTGGTCTCATATAGATGGTTTTTTTGTTGTTGTTGTTGTTTAAAAAACGAGCACAGTGCTCACAGGTGATATTGTTTATTTTATGAGCCAATCTGTTATTTAGCTGAAGGATGACCTCCGGGAGTAGTTTCAGTTAAAAATTAAAGAGTATCTCTGGGTGATAGTCTCGGGGGTTCTTCTAGTCTCTACTGGTCCAGTAAGTCTGGCTTTAAAAAAAAAAAAAAAAGAATTAGAGTTTTGTTCTACAATTTTTTCCCATTCTATCTGGGACCATGTATGTGTCCCTGGGCAGAATGGTCAGTAGAGGTAGCTGGGCACCATTTAGTTCTTATGGTCTCTGGATAGATGAGGCCATGATTTGTGTAAGCAATTAGTCCTATAGACCAGATTCTTCTCTGAGTCTTTGGTTTCCTTCTTTCTGTTTTGTTCCAGACAAGTAGAGACCAATAGTTGTGCCTTAGATGGCCACTCACAAGCTTTTAAGACCCCAGACACTACTTACCATACTAGGATGTGGAATATAAACTTTATTCACTATGTTGTCCCAGTTGACCATGTTATCCCATGAGACTATGGTCCTAAGCCTTCAAACCCGGTAAACCAATCCTGTGAGGCATTTGGTTATGTCTATGTGCTTTATTATATATGAATATATGTGCCGCACACACAAACATGCTTATCTATGCCTACAGATACATCTATATATGCACACATATATATATATACATATAGCTTGCTATACACATATATGCATATAACCACTCACTTTCTGAGTCTCTCTGAAATATGCTTTTGAATGTAGAGTAGCTAAAGCAAACAGAAGAAATGATGAAGTAAAAGAGCTGAACAGAAGATTTCAAAGGGCAGCTCAAGAAGACAAAGTAAAGTGTTATAATGAAATGTGCAAAGACCGGGAGTTAGAAAATCAAAAGGGAAGAACTCACTCAGTATTTCCAAAGCTGAAAAAACTGAATTAAAAATTCAAGCCTCGAATTGCAATATTGAAGGATTCGATGGGCAAAAAATTGAACGATGCAGGAAACATCAAAAGAAGATGGAAAGAATACACCAAGTCACTGTACCAAAAAGAACTGGTCAACATTCAACCATTTCAGGAGGCAGCATATGATCAAGAACTGATGGTACTGAAGGCGGAAGTCCAAGCTGCACTGAAGGCATTGGCAAAAAACAAGTCTCCAGGAATTGACAGAATACCCCTTGAGATGTTTCAACAAGCAGATGCTATGCTAGAAGCACTCACTCATCTATTCCAAGAAATTTGGAAGACAGCTACCTGGTCAACCAACTGGGAGAGATCCATATTCGTGCCCATTCCCAAGAAAGGTGATCCAACAGAATGCAGAAATTATCAAACAATATCATTAATATCACATGCAAGTAAAATTTTGCTGAAGATTATTAAAAAATGGTTGCGACAGTACATCAACAGGGAACTGCCAGAAATTCAAGCCAGATTCAGAAGAGGACATGGAACGAGGGATCTCATTGCTGATGTCAGATGGACCTTGGCTGAAAGCAGAGGATACCAGAAAATGTTTACCTGTTTTATTGACTATGCAGACATTCGACTGTGTGGATCATAACAAATTATGGATGATACGGTGAAGAATGGTAATTCCAGAACACTTAACTGTGCTCATGAGGAACCTGTACATAGACCAAGAAGCAGTTGTTCGAACACAACAAGGGGATACTACATGGTTTAAAATCAGAAAAGGTGTGCGTCAGGGTTGTACCCTTTCACCATACTTACTCAGTCTATATGTTGAGCAAATAATCCGAGAAGCTGGACTATATGAAGACAAATGTGGCATCAGGATTGGAGGAAGACTCATTAACAACCTGCATATGCAGATGACACAACTTTGCTTGCTGAAAGTGTAGAGGACTTGAAGCACTTACTGATGAAGATCAAAGACTACAGCCTTCAGTATAGATTACAACTCAACATAAAGAAAACAAAAATCCTTATAGCTGGACCAATAAGCAACATCATGATAAACAGAAAATATTGACATTGTCAAGGATTTTATTTTACTTGGATCCACAATCAATGCCCATGGAAGCAGCAGTCAAGAAATCAACGCGTTGCACTGGGCAAATCTGCTGCAAAAGACCTCTTTAAAGTGTTAAAAAGCAAAAGTCATTTTAAGGACTAAGGTGTGCCTGACTCAAGCTGTGGTATTTTCAGTTGCCTTATATGCATTGAAAAGCTGGACAATGAATAAGGGAGACCAAAGAAGAATTGATGACTTGGAATTATGATGTTGGCAAAAAATATTGAATTTACCATAGACTTCCAGAACGAAAAAATCTGTCTTGGAAGAAGTATAGCCAGAATGCTCTTTAGAAGCAAGGATGGTGAGACTTCTTCTCACATACTTTGGAAATGTTATCAAGAGGGACCAGTCCCTGGAGAAGGACATCATGCTTGGTAGAGTAGAAGGTCAGCAAAAAA